TCTACGCCAATGTGCAAAACTCATGAAGGTTTTGCAATTTGGAAAAATGTCGTGATATAACGAGCTATTTTTCCATGAATCAATTATTTATATTTTACAAAGAACCAATAATGTGACCTTTATATATGTTCGACACAACGAACCACATTATCTACAATGTAAAATAAAGGAACTGTGCTTAAACTACGAACACTAACTCGACCAAAGACACTCATCTCATTCAAAATGAAATTGAGAGTAACTAAAGCTGAACTTCTACAATATACTCCAATATGAGTCTCGTAGAATGTAGTTGAAAATTATTTAATGGATGATACCACTGTTTGTTTCAAAGCACTTAATGTAACCAGGTAAACAGTAATCACATGTTGGAACTTATTATTAGGCTTTATACAATTTCCCTAACTTTCACTATCTTATAAAATCAACTTCATAATAAGTTTTAGCTTTATACATGTGGGCCAAAACATTTGACTCCATTGCTGATTGCTTGGGAAGTCCAGCTGCAAACCTACGTTTTAGTTAGAATTACTAATTTCTTCTAAATGATGTCGCATCCATTTGGACTTCATTGGTGTCCATTCACGAGGGTTCCTACATTATTTGAGTAAGCCCCATGTTTTGCCTTAACTGTCTTTTTTTATAAAGTTAAAAATCTAAATTTTAGAGCTTTTCCTTAAGTTTAATATAGAGTATTTGTTGTTTATCCTCGTTATTCAATGTTTTTATGCCATAAATAATATCAGAAGCTTCGAACAATATTGTACCGTTGGCTGACATTTTATTTCACATTTGTCATTTTGCCTATGTAGTTATTTTAAATGAGATAAACTTGTAGCAAATGACGAGCATGCAGTTATTTTTTGTAATCTTTGCATTTAACCTGAAAAGTACATCACAAATCCTGATTGTCCTGTTAATAATAGCATACTTAGGGAATGTCTTGTTAAAGTTATTAGGGAAAATTATTAAGGGTTTAGCATATTCAAACCATTCGGTGCAGTCAAAGAAGTCCAAGGTGGCTGAGGAATGGGCCCATGCAGATGACACGACACACATGCATACTGTCTCATCTAATGAGACAAATCTTAGCAGATATTAGGGTTTCATTACTCCCTTTTCTTAGAACCGTTAGATCAATGTCATCTGTACATCCACACACTCACATACATATTATATATATATTGTTATCTTCCCAATGTAGCTGGTCACGCAGACAACACCAATGAAATAGTAGATCTGAGAAATCAAGAAACAAGAAAAAGTCTTTTGTTCTATCATGGCTTTATCTTCTTTTATCCATTTTGGTGATAAGTTTTCATGGTATCAGAGCAGGCTAGCCTGTCTCTGCATACCCCTTTCCTCTTTCTTTATGTAGTCTTTTTCTAGCCATTAAATCATGGCAGCAACCTTACCAATATCGAGTGTTGGAGATGCTTTGGTTTAGCTGCAAAGCCATCTAATATCTGTCAAATTAAATGAAGGGAACTATTTGATTTGGGAGCAGCAGGCTCTTGCTGCCATTAGAGGATACGGCCTGCAAGGATATATCACAGGAGAATCTCCTCAACCAGAAAAACTCAGTGCAGGACCAAATGGCACAGATCTTACTATAAATCCCAGTTTTACAACCTGGGTGAGACAAGATCAAATGATAGCCTCTTGGTTACTCTCCTTCCTGTCTGAAAATACTCTCATTACTAACGTTGGCCTCAACACCTCACAGGAGATCTGGGATTGCTTAAGAATAAGCTTTGCCAGTCACAGCCAAGCCAAGCAAATGCAACTGAGGATGGAGTTGCAAACCCTGAAAAAGGGAAATATGAAGGTTAGAGAGTACTTAAGTAAAATGAAGAGCATATGTGATATGCTAGCCATGGCAGGCCACCAGATCAATGAAAGTGATCAAGTCCTCCATCTTTTAGCTGGCCTAGGAGCTGAGTATAAATCAGTGGTTGTGTCCATTACTTCAAGGACTGATAAATGCTCTTTGGTTGAAGCATACTCTGTGATACAAAGCTTTGAGGCAAGAATGGAATCAATGGAGAGTACAATAGGCATAGGGGAAAGTTCTCAGCTTGCAGCCAACTTAGCCTCTCAAGTAAACACAAGAGGAAGGGGTAACAATGGTTTTGGCAGAGGCAGGTTCTCACCTGGTTTTACAACAGGAAGAGGAAGATCCCAAGGCAGAAATGGAGGTTATAGAGGAAGAGGAGGCAGGTTTAGTGGTGGTGCAAGGTACAGGTGTTAGATTTGTGGTTATAACAACCACACTGCTGACAAATGTTACTATAGATTTGATATGAGCTTCACAGGAAGAAATCAAAACAATGGAGGACAAAACCCTCGTAACCAGAATTTCAACAATGCACTCCAATCTGGCTATTCTGCAAATCTCATCACCAACAATGGAGATGCTGCATCTAAAAACTCCTCCCAAGACATAGGCTAGTACCCTGATTCAGGGGCAACCAATCACCTCACCTATGACCTTGAAAATCTAAGTCTTGCAGCTGACTATCATGGAAATGAGAGGATTCAGGTGGCAAATGGAACAGGTATGGCAATTGCTCACTATGGTAAATCAAAGATAAAATTTCCTTCCAAACACACTCTTTACCTTAACAATTTGCTTCATGTTCCTCATTTAAACAAAAACCTCATAAGTGTATCCCAATTTGTTAAAGATAATGAGGCATTTTTTGAATTTCACCCTTATTGTTGCCTTGTGAATGATCTCAAATCAAGAACAGTGCTGTTGGAAGGGAGTCTTGATAATGGCTTGTACAAGTTTCACCTCCCTAAGACCAACAGACCTCCTCAATCTTTGTTTCCCAGCACTCAGTCAAATGTTACTTCTAGTAGCTTTCAATTAAATTGCAATGTTGCTGAACAGAATGTCCCTTTAAGTCTTGAAATTTGGCATTCTAGATTAGGCCATCCTTCTTTTGATATTGTGAGATCAGCACTCAAGCATTGTAATATTCAGTTTAATGACAATATTCAAAACTCATTATGTCTGTCTGTATGCAATCAAAATTTCACAAGTTACCCTTTTATTCATCTGATTCTCACAATTGTAAACCTCTAGATCTTATCCACTCAGATTTATGGGGTCCCTCACCTGTCACATTTCACAAGGGATATAAATATTATGTGAGTTTCATTGATGATGCTACTAAATTTACATGGTTTTACTTGCTTCAAAAGAAATCAGACACTAAGGAAGCCTTTACTCATTTTAAGGCTCTTGTTGAGAATCAATTCGAAACCACAATTAAGGCCTTTCAAAGTGATGGTGGAGGAGAGTTTCAAGCCCTTAAACCTATCCTATCCTCAGCTGGTATCTTTCACAGATTTTCATACCCATACACACCTGAACAAAATGGTTTGGCAGAAAGAAAACATAGAACAATTGTTCAAACTGGCCTGGCTTTGATAAATCAATCACATTTGCCCTTGCATTACTGGGATGAGGCATTTTCCACAGCTTTTTATCTCATAAATAAAACTCCACAAAAATCTTTGAACTTCATTTCTCCTTTTGAAGCCCTAAATGGTGTCAAACCAGATTACTCCAACTTAAAAGCATTTGGTTGTCTTTGCTTCCCTCTCATGAAACCTTATAACAGCCACAAACTTGAACCAAAAAGTGTTCCCTCCACTTTTCTTGGTTATACCCCTGGCTTCAAAGGATTTAAAGTCTTACTTCCAAACAACAAGATCATCATGACCAGACACCTCCTTTTTTATGAAACTTCTTATCCTTTTCACAAACCTCACACTTTATCCACTTCTTCTCCACACAATCAACCATTTCCCACTAATACTTCACAGTCATCTATTTCTTCTCCTGTCATCCTTCAACCACCCAACCAACCCTCACCACCTCCAACACCACACCATTCATCATCCAACTCTCTCTCATCATCATCATCATCACCTTCTTCACAACATCATCACTCTTCACCATCTTCTTCTTCTCACAACCTCAATATGGAAGGTCATCTTTATGTTGATTTACTTATTGATCAAAGCCATGTTGTTAATTCAGATGCCACTGATAGTTCTCTTAGAAATGACCATGCAGGTGCACTAAATGCCAGTACATCCAATGCTCATCCAATGACTACCAGATCCAAGCATGGCATATATAAGCCAAAGTCTTATGCAGCCCAAAGCTCATCTTGCACGGAACCTACATCTGTTTCAGATGCCCTGTCCATACCATCTTGGAAACAAGCCATGGAGACTGAAATTCAAGCTCTCATCAAAAACCACACTTGGGACCTTACTCCTTTACCACCTAATAAGACATTAGTTGATTGCAAATGGGTTTTTAAGCTTAAGAAGAACCCTGGTGGCTCTATTTCAAGGCACAAAGCTCGGTTGGTTGCTAGAGGTTACAGTCAATCACCTGGTTTGGATTACACTGAAACCTACAGTTCAGTTATAAAACCAACTACTATAAGGATCCTTCTCTCTTTGGCAATCACTAATGGTTGGGATATAAGGCAAGTTGATGTAGATAATGCCTTCTTATATGGAGATATTGATAATGAAATATATATGACTCCTCCATCTGGTTTCAATCTTAGCAAAAATAAGAATCTTGTTTGTAAGCTCAAGAAGTCTCTCTATGGCCTCAAGCAAGCTTCAAGAGCTTGGTCTAGCAAATTTGCCTCCACATTGTTCTCTTTGGATTTCTCCTCCTCACAGGTTGATCCTTCTCTTTATTACAAACATACTCTTAACTCAAGCCTCTTCATTATGGTGTATGTTGATGACATCATCATTACTGGCAGCTCCTCTCAGGAAATCAACAACATCATTTCCCAACTATAGTGTCACTTCTCCTTAAAGGACTTAGGCAAATTGAGCTATTTTCTTGGCATACAAGTCTTTTATGAATCTGGTTGTCTCCATCTCAGCCAAGCAGCTTACATAGATGATATTTTGAGAAGGGCTGGCATGCAGGGGCAAAAGGAGTGCAATCTCCTATGGTTGCAACACCAGCCCTCTCAAAACACCTTGGAAGTCCTGTTGAACATGCTCACCTTTATGGAAGAATTGTTGGAGCCTTACAATACCTTACCATGACCAGACCAGACATAAACTTTGCTGTTAACAAAGTTAGCCAATTTATGCAAACCCCTGTTGACACACATTGGAAAGCTGTAAAGAGTATCTTAAGATATGTGGCAGGAACAAAACATTTCACCTTCAGATTGTCTCCTTGCTCAAACCTTAACATCACTGGATTTGCTGATGCTGACTGGGCTTCCGATGTGGATGATAGAAGATCCACCTCAGGTTTTCGCACCTTCATGGGACAGAACCTCATATCTTGGAGCTCCAAGAAGCAAACTACAGTATCAAGGTCTTCTACTGAGGCAGAGTATAGAAGCTTAGCCCATGCTGCATGTGAAATAATGTGGATAAAATCATTGTTGAGAGAATTGAGGGTTAAGGATAACAGACCAAGTGTGATTTGGGTGGACAACTTAGGTGCTATTCAATTAGCTGCCAATCCTATTGGACATTCAAGAACTAAGCATATTGAGCTGGATTTACATTTCTTAAGAGAAAAAATTGTGAAAGGTGTTATATCAGTGAGGCATGTTCCAGCCATTGACCAAGTGAGTGATATTCTCACTAAACCTTTGAATGGCCAATTCTTCACAAGGCTTGGAGCTAAGCTCTGTGTAGATTCTCAGTCCTTGCTTGAATTGAGGGGGCATATTAAGGGTTTAGCATATCAAACCATTTGGTGCAGTCAAAGAAGTCCAAGGTGGCTGAAGAATGGGCCCATGCAGATGACACGACACACATGCATAATGTCTCATCTAATGAGACAAACCTTAGCAGATATTAGGGTTTCATTACTCCCTTTGCTTAGAACCGTTAGATCAATGTCACCTGTACATCCACACACTCACTTACATATTGTATATAATGTTATCTTCCCAATGTAGCTGGTCACGTAGACAACACCAATGAAATAGTAGATCTGAGAAATCAAGAAATAAGAAAAAGTCTTTTGTTCTTTATCATGGCTTATTTTCTTTTATATTTGGTGATAAGTTTTCAAAAATATACTAGTATAGAAATAGTTATAGTTATGCCCATAAAATCTTGGTACTTCCTATCCTTTATGAAAGCTAGATTTACTAATGAGTGTACAAATAAATTCTCTTTTTTAGGACAAAGGTGTATATGGAGCAAAAATTCACAATTGTGGAGGTAAGGACATCCGCTACTTAACCGTGATGGCGCTGCTTCCGCACAGGACAATTGAAAGACTTGCTATGTTGGAAATTTTGTCTTTTACGAAATGAGAACGACATTTTTCAGAGAAAGTTGGGCTTGAAAAGAATGAAGGCGTAGTGAATTTTGGGTGATTGTGATGAATTTGCAAAAGTTAAGAAAAAGACCAGTTATGGTGATGAATTTTGGGTTTAGGTTAAACAATGAATTTGGGGATTTCTGGGGAAGAAGACAGCATTTTCAATGTGTTTGTTCAATTCTACCAAGTCATTAACTAAATACCATGTCAATCAGAAAATTTGTCCACGTAGGAGCCACAATTGGATACGCTGGCAAAAATATCGTCGTCGAGAGGTTTGAGTTGAATTGCAGTATTTAGACAAGATTATGACTTTGTTTGCTAATATTAAAAAAAAGGCAAAATAGCTCGTTATATCACGACCTTTTACCAAATTGCTAAAACATCACGACTTTTGGACCTTGGCGGAGAATATCATGACCTTTGAATTCTTTGTAAAACGATACACGGAAATAAAAAACCGGCCATCGGTGCTTACGTGTCCGACCAACAAAATCTAATGTGTATATATTTGTCCCACGTGTAGCATGACATGGAACACAAGTATAAATAGCCCAATTTCTTCCCCAATTCTCTTATCTCCTTCCTCAAATTTATTCTCACTTAACCCTAATTTTCTCTCCCCCAATTGTTTGAGTCTCGACACCCGCCACGCTGCCAGCATAGTCGCCGGAGCTTTCGGACAACGGTCGCACCGAATTCCGCCAAGGAAGTCCCTCACCGTGGAGTTTTCATTCCCGATGGCGTCGAATGAGCAGTCGATCTGGGACTAGAAGCAGCCCTACCAACCCGCCGGTGTCGGGAGGTGGATGAAGCTGCTGGGAGGGACTTCCTGCTCCTCCTTGCTTGACCTTATTTCACTACCTGGGCCATCCCCAAATTCCCCGTGCTAGTTGAAGAGCGCGTCCCATTTTGGTGAGCTCAACGGCAAGATCTCGAGCAGCAACGAGCGGGCCAATTTTTTTCGAGTCGGGCTGTCAATCCTTGTGGGTCTGCCTTACCATCATCATTCAAGGCTAATGGTTCGCTTTTTATGGGTCCTCGATGCTTTTCGCTGCCATTGATGTGGCCAGAACACTTCCAAATCACGCAATATAAAAAGTGAGGAAAATACAGAAATGGAAAGGAGTCAACATTGTCATTTGGTGTAGAGAAGGCTAAGGTGGTGGTGGATTGTCAAAAAGAGAAAACCTGGTGTGGCTGCCATGGGAATAAAGGGAAGAGCGGGCTTGGTGTCATTGTATTATTCACTGTGTGATAGTGTGTGTGTGTGTTTTATTTTTATTTTTTTTATTCTTATTTTTTTTTAAATGTGGGTGAAGATACAAAAACAATAGATTTTGTTGACTTTACTATAATTCATACAAGTTTTTCATGTCAACATCCACGTTAGATTAAATTTTACACATAAGATTTTTAATTCCACATAATAAAAGGTTAGCTAGACATATAAGCACCGATGGCCGATTTCTGACTTCTGTGTATCGTTTTGCAAATAATTCAAAAGTCATGATATTCTCCGTCAAGGTCCAAAAGTCGTGATGTTTTAGCAATTTGGTAAAAGGTCGTGATATAATGAGNAAAAAAAAAAAAAAAAAATAGTTATAATTACCAAAGAGTGTAAGATGATGATTTGAGCGACAATTTTGTGTTTTTCAAAACCAAAGAGAATCCAATTAACCACCTATATCCTCTGATGGTTATGGAAATCAAGAAATCTTTGTGTCTTCAAAAACCAATGGCAACCTGAGAAAGCTACTATGGATGCAGCCTGCTCAGAATGGCTCGAGTTTTTCTCCATTTCCTAATTTATTCTTATCTCTTTTTCTTCTAGCTAGGTGATTATCACAGTGGCTAGAATGTCATTCTTTTTGTCAAGGTACGTCTCAGGGCCTCAGTATTATATACTGCCCAATGGTTGTGCCTTTTATCCCTCTATCTATTTTAGGCCAACTTGTCCAAAGTTGGTTCTTCCTTTCTTTTTCAGTGTTTTGTCGATTGTGTTTTGTCAGTTTAGTTTGCCTTAGCAGTTTGGTTTTAGTTGGATCCTTAGTAGTTTGCTTTAAGAGAAAAACAAAACAAAAAAATCTCAAACGTTGCATTTTGGGACAGACAAAGGCAAAGTCACATCGAAATTTGTAACTCCACAAAGTTTGACCACGCAAATCTTAAAAAAACTAGCCGGGGCCCTCGAAAAATGCTCAAACACTTGGCAAACCATAATGCAGCTGAAGAGAAGAGGCATCTTTCTTTG